TAGTTAATTTTACCTTTTCTTCCTAATGCTTATTTATTGCATTAGTATTATATGTTATGTCACGACCAGACTCGGCTACTCGAACTAATGAGACGGGAACAAAAAGTCGGACGATTACAACATTTCTCTCAAATTCTGAAACACATTCATCTATCTTCGAAATAAAATTGAAGAGCCGCTAACACAATTTTTCAACATATTACTAACAATTTTCACAACTTATCATTTACATAAACTATATATAATACATGTTTTCATTTGAACGCCGTCTTCTGTAGGCATACTTCTCTCTTTATTTCATTTTCACTTAACAGGAGACTTACCTGAAAATGTTAGTTTAATAGAGTGAGTTGACAAAGTAAACTTAGTTGGTATTCACCATTTCATATGGAATAGTTAGTCATATAAAATAAACATACATCTTTCTTCTTTAACTTTCTTACATAACTAAAATATGCATCTTTATTCATATACTGTAAGTTTTACAACTTATTTTTTATATAAATTACATTATATTCTATTTCATCTGTCCATTTCCACTGTACATCTTTCATTTTCATTTGATATTTAATCCATTTCCATTTTCATTAGTACAGAAGTACCGTTTAAATGTACCAATAAAGGTACAAACATTTTTATTTCCATTTTCATTTCCTTTTCTATTAACATGCACGAGTACGTTGCTTCCTCAGCAAGTACCATAATGGGTGAACTCCTATAATTTTGCATGCATATACTTTTCCCTTTTCATATTTATATTTTTTTTTATTTCAATCATATGGTTTGTCTTTATATGTTTTTTCGATAAAAATAAATATACATTTTTTAAAATTTTTCTTTCTTCTTCTTCTTTTCCATGTATATAAATTTAATATATACACACATTTCGTATATTTCATATATATATATATATATATATATACTAATTTACTTATCACTTTAATGATTAACTTTAACCTTCAAACATTTGTAATTGAATGAATAATCAGGAGGCTGTATGAAAGAAAATAGAATCATGGAATATCTATAAAAATAATATCAATTACCCACTTTGAATATTTCGGCTCTAGCTCCTTTTGAATCTTTGACTTTTGAGATAATCTTTCTTACAACAATTTAAATTTACATACAAACATATAACTATTATCATCTTTTAACTTTCACTATTTTCATATAAATATTTCTTTAATAAATTCTTGCCTCCAATTTTCTTTTTAAGTTCTTTTATTAGCTTTAGATGTCACCTTCATACACTAAGTTAATCAATCCTCCATTGTTCCACAAGATCTTTAATTTTAATTTATCATTGCTAATGAAAACATTAAATTATTCCCTAATATGATTACAACAGTTATTGAAAAGCTCATGAAATTATAATTACCTCAATAATTTAAATCTTCACTCTTTTCTCTTTGAATTGAAGTTTTCACTCACAAAATTTCTTCAAGCATGAACTTCCTTTCTATTGAAATTCATATATTGTTCCTTTCCATCAAAATAATAGATTTGAACAAAAGATAAAATAGGAACTCCGAAGTTCACTTAAATTTCATTTGGCTTCCGAAAAGAGTGAATTTCCAACTCAAATTTCTTTTTCCTTTCTTTTCAAATTTGTTCCTCCCTGCTTTCAAATATCTTCCTTTGTCTTTAATGAAACATCCCTCGTTGTTTAGATGATATAATACGCAAGGATTATACAAAAATAGAAATAATTTGACAAACAAGCCTCCTTTCTAATTAGACCAAAGTAAAATATTTTTGAAATTCAAATTATCACAAAATTATTATATTGTTGCTAAATTTTTAGAAATTTGAATGAATCGTGCAAATTATGAAATGTTTTGTAACCTCTTTTCATTGAGCTTTATTTACTGTAACTATTTGATTTCAGAGTCATTTCCTAATGTTGGAAAATAAATCCAAAAACCTATTTTTATTGAAACATTCTCAACTTTAGTGGGTAGTCTCCACCATCAATATTTACCTCCAATTAAAATTTTAAGGTAAAATTGCATTTCTTCAAAATAAGGATATTTTCAAAATTGCAAAATGCCTATTCACCTTTTTTTCAATCAAAATTGTGAAATGAGCCAAGCTAATCTTGTGTTTTTATTATCTTAAGTTACTGGTTACCCAAAGTGTTCAAACCACCAGTTCGTCTAGAATATGATAGGAAATACTTGATTTCAAGTAGTTCCTAACCAAAACTGAAGCCGAACAAGGAGAAAACTGCTGTCTCCAACAGTGGACAGCAACTATGCGCAGGAAAAACAGTGAATATTGCGAGAATATTGGGAGACAACGCAAGCAAAGACTTGTATTTTTACTAGTAGACGAAACAAATAGCAAGATACAATTTGTTCTTCAATTCGAGAGGAAGAACGTACTCTCCAAAGTCTCCGGCGAAGCCAAGAGCCCAAGACAAAACCTAGATCTCAAGAGAAAACTCAAATTCAAGATAAGCAGCCAATCCCCCCAAAACTCCTAATTATACAAAATAATCATAAAGGACAATAATGGACTTCCTAAAACAGCCTCCCATTCAAAAATTTTCCCTCCCCCATGCGTTTTAGCCGCTGTTTGGGCCCCCCGACACGCGCTCCGCGCGTTCCGTCTGGTTCCACCCAACGTTGGTTCGTCGGGTGTAGAACCGGACCGGTCCAGCTGGGACCGGTCCAGGCGTAACAGAATAATGCTAAATTTCACTATAGGATGAGATTAAATTTATCTTCCAAATTAAATTTTATTTTCCCCTGAGATGAGGTTCGGTTGGCCGCCTTGAAAATGACATATAATGATTAGACAATGATATAGAACCCTTCTAGGTTCCCTGGATTAGATAAAACTAATCCACCCCACCCCCAACTACTAAAATCGAAAGATCTACAAATATCAAATGCTCCCAATGATGCTCATCTCTAAGCTCAAATGGCTCCAACTACTATTGAAAATCATATCAAAATACATCCTCCCCCTCTCTCTCTCTCTCTCTCTCTCTCTCTCTCTCTCCAAATTGAGATGAGATTATACTACATATTCACAAAAAATATAATCATATGTCCCATCCTTATAAATGGAGCCCAAACTTAAATTTCATAGCTGAGCCATCAAGAACTATGACCAACTCAATTCTATTGTAGTTGACTGTATGAAAAAGGCTATAAACTGTCAAGGCTACCTGCACTAGTCAATCAAAATATATCAACCCCTACTGAGTCAAATATGCTAACCTCATGTTTATCCCCAGTAGTTGTTGCTCTATTGACTCGTGTGATACCCCCACTATTATTAAGTTTACATACCCTATTGGAGTCATGTCAACCAGTGAACTGCCAAATTCAATTTCATGTTGACTTATGAAATCTACTAAAAGCTTGCATCCAAACCAATGCTTAATCCTAGGAATTTGTGCTATAAGCTAAAAGTCTCTTCCCCATGTACCAATTAACCCAACCCTCTTAAAAAAACACAATTGCCCTTTGAGAGTCAACCTCTTTAAGTCAATCGAGCTCAAAGCCTGAATTCAGGCGAAGCCTACCTAATAAGCATTTCCCAATGATGGGTAAAATATATGTTGATCATTATTGAAGAGAATAACTCTAGTAAATAAGGTTTATGCCCTTTTCCCCACTAGATCTACTAAAATAAATAGCCCTTACTACTAGATGATGTAACATCATATTTTAACTAAAAGGAATTATAGCCCGCCAACCCAATTAACTCTTAATATTTTGATCTTGGGAGTTGCTTCCAAATCTTGAATAGTGAGGTTCTTAAACTCCAATACAACCAACTCTTGGTCTTCTATAATAAAAATGCACCCTTATAAGATGACCTATGCATACACCCCTCCACAAGTACATAAAAAGAGTATAATCTACTAGCAATACCCAAAAGAAGCCCTTAAATTACAAAAAAATATACATCACTTTATACTCAAAGCAAAACTCCATCTTTTGCATCAGGTTAATTGTGGAAGCTAGATTGAAATTGATCCATTCTAAGATATTCTTCAGATTATTTATTTGCTCAATATTTTTGATGAGTGTAAGCTTGTAAATCTCCATTAGCGTGGGGTGGTGAGTGTTTCCGATAAATGAAAGACAATCTAGAAGAAATTAGTTTTTCATATATTGGTGGGAAGATCAGAGGAATATTGATTACATGGAGAGAATGAGAAGGGAGCGAGGAAGGTTTTTTTTTCTACTTGGTTGCTGGGCGGCGGATTTGATGAAGATAGACCAGAAATTGACATTTCTAAAATGAATTGCAAATCTTATTTTCAAACCAAAAACTATGTGCTTCATTCAAATTTTATTGTGAACTCTACTTCAATTATAAGTGACGGCTACTCATAAGAAGACAAATAATAGTAACATATTTTTATTTCCACTCAATGGGGGTGATGATATTACTGATAGATAGCAGGCCTATTACATCTAAAAATGTGCTAAACACTTATTATCCCATGTTTGAAAACTTCCATGTAAATATGTGAACCATAATCTTGTTCAAGGAAGAGTTACTGGGAAGGGTGCACAATCATGATCATCATCATTACAATCGTTACCGCAATGTACTTTTCAAAAGTTTACCATATTTATAGTAGTGTTGCCTCAGTAACCCTTGTAAAGGCTTTACCCCGAATAGGCCAATGACACATGCTAAGGCTATTTACAGCAATTTTCCTGATTACGACCTATTCAATCCATCCATAGATGAACACAATAGCTCAAATCCATTTCTAACATATTTATAGCCGCAATCTGTGATATAGCAATAAAAGAATGATATGAGTGCAAAACATACACACCTTATTTATTCCCAAGTAATTGCAACTAGGAAAATCTGCAATGTTGCTGATGAAAAACTTGCATGGGACACAAAGCATAAGCATGATCTCTAATACAATTTGTTTCATGAACCAATCTCTTTTTTTCGTTTTCCTACACTTGGATGTCTTGGAAATATTTCTGAAATGCTTGTATTTCTTCCTTTAGATTATCAATCCTGCTGAGACATTTGGAGACATAGTTATTGACTATCCGTAAGAGATTTACGCACCTTATTTTCTTAAATATGCTTGATATTTATTTATATTATATCTTGTTATGCCAAACTTCAATGACAGATATGTAGAATGTACATCAGCGTCAATTCAGGCTCTTACAGCATTTAAAAAATTGTACCCTGGACATAGAAGAAAGGAGATAGATAATTGCATTAAAAAAGCAGCTCATTTCATTGAGAAGATACAAAAACCAGATGGTTCATGGTTTGTACTCAATTTTGTATTTGATAGGGAAGTCTTAGGCTGTAATGGTTATACTTTTACATACCAAGGCCATTTGCACATCATAAAACATTATGTGTCAGTTTTTCATCGTGAATAAATTGCAACTAAATTGCGAAGCAATTGTCCACAGGTATGGTTCTTGGGCTGTTTGCTTCACATATGGGATATGGTTTGGTGTGAAGGGACTGATTGCTGCTGGAAAATCATATCAAGATAGTCCTTCTATCCGAAAAGCATGTAATTTCCTGTTATCTAAACAACTAGCTTCTGGTGGCTGGGGGGAGAGTTATCTATCTTGTCAAGATAAGGTAATATTTTTTCCAAATAATACTAGAATACTATAGATCCACTTACAGAGTTTTATATTTAAAGTTTTACCAACATTTGTTTTTTGCCTTCTAATAATGAAATTAAAATTTGATTTGCAGTCTCCTTTTTCTCTAATGTTGTGATGTGGTTCCGTGAGATTCATAGTAGTTCATTATCTAGTTTGATGGAAGAGTAAACTAATCACGTGGGTTCCATTCTTGGTGTATGGATTATGTTATGTTAAATTTCTCTTTGACAAAATTAATTTCAGCTTCAATAATGTTAAAATTTTTAGAAAATAGCCATTCCTTATTTCCTTCCTCCCAAATTATTAATTTTTTTTTTATTTATACTTTTGTAAATAATATTGTAGGCTTGACTGTATGATCATTTTGAACTGAGTGGAGCTGAGCAAAAGCCTCCTCTCGCATATGTGCGACTACACGGGATGAAAAATCGTGCGTCTAGAAAGTGGCTAGGACCACCTGCGAATGGCGGCATCGAGCTTGGTCTTTGTTCTTGTGTGTGATGTCCAGAGTCGACTAAGCAAAAACGAGAGAAGTCGAGTGCAAGACCTTCTCTTTCATGCATTCGGACAGCAGCCAGGACCTCCTTGTGGGAATGGTGGCATCGGGCTCAGTCTTCGTCTTTGCATGCGATCGAGAGAGGAGCGGCATTCCTCTTGGTCATCTACTTCATGCGTCTCTTCCTTGAAGCACAACAGAGAGGAGCGAGTAGGAAACCTTGTACGTGCGAAGGAGGCTGAGTTTGTGTGTATGTGTGTTCTTACCTACGCGGAAGCATAACCGAGCGCCGGTAGGAGTCATGCAAAAATTTTTCGGTGTGCATGCCTCGGAAGAGTCGAACTCTTGGATCAATGGCCTTATGCGCCTCTGTAAGTTACAGAGAACTTGGTGCACTTATTGTCGTACCTGTGGCCTCTCTTGTGCACATCTATGCAAATGTTGTCTGATGATTTAATACTAGAGGATGGGGTCAAAGACATCAGGAACAAGTTTATGTCTCCTCCATTTAAAATTGAAAATTTATTGTGAAGAATGGAGCAATCTCCATCTACTTCAATGTTGATTGATAATCAGTCTGCTCTGAAGGCATTGACTGACACAGATTTTTTTGGACAATCAAAAATGGATGTGAAGGTTTCCATTGCATCTTTTCCTAGTGAAATAATAAGAATAACAACACCAGATGCTCCATATGATGATGATATAAAGATGAAGATATTTGGGCTGATTGTTGGATGAGATGTCAAGAATTTGGATGACATGTCAAGCCGTTCATTTCCAAAGAGAGTTTTAATACTTAAAATTGTTGCGAAGGCCCAAATATGTTAGATCTTGATTGTGATGATTTCATATTAGAAATGTTTCATCATTTCCTGAAAACAGTAAGGTTAAAGCATTATGATATTATCTTCTCCTCATTGAAGACAATCATGACATTTGTTTTGGAGCAGACTAAAAGTATTTCTAGATAGCTTCTTTCATGTCTGTTGGATGGTGTGAAAGTTGTTGAAAATAATATTCTTCACACAACCAAGAAGCTAGTTGAGAAAGTGCTTATTAATTGTTCCTTGAAGCTAAAGCCTTATTTGGCTAAATTATTTAATGGCAATGGTACTCTTTTAAGTGAATACAACAAAATTGTTGTTGCTATATTTCAAGGAAACCCGACACTTCGATGCAGAATGAAATGAATGCTTCTAGTGAAAATCAGGAAGCTGATCATAAATTATTTGAGCGGTTCCTTTTTGACAACTTGCCTCAGGGATTTGCACAATAGGAAGATGAAATTTTTTATCTTGAAAAATCTATTGTTGTTGTAGAATGATCTTCCAAACCATTGATGAGTAATGGATCTTTTCAGAATGGGAATGGTGATTCCATGGCTGCAAAGTAAAAGGTTGAATTTCACCATCATAGGAGTTAATACTAAACATAGTTTGGATTATGGTATAACAAAGCCTGATATAATGTCATATCTAAGTTCTCGCAAAGGAGGAAGAAATGCTTCATTGCAGTTGTTAATTAGCAATGATCATTATGGAGTTGGTAATAAGATAAATGCTTGGAGTAATTCTGACCAAAAACTTTCAAGTAATGGAGGTAGAAATGGATCTAAAAAAGTTAGAGTGAGATTCTAGGAAAACAAGCAAACTGCTGTCACTAAAAAGTAGAAAGGAGTTGGGCATGCTAAGGCTGAAGATAAAAAATTGAAATTAGAGTTAGTTTTCTCGTCTCAAAAATCTACCATGAAATATTTTTTTAAAGATCATAACAATGTTAAAGATACATGTTGACTAATGTAAAATAAAAATGTGAGAAATTAAATGACCAGATGCATTGTTTCAGAGATTGATCGAACGGATGCAATGCTTTAGGAACAACACACCCGTTTGGTTAATACAAAATACAGGGAAATAGAAAAAAGGAATTCACGCTCTTTCTCATATGTTCTCTACTAAATCATCTTTTCCTGCCTGCATTCGTCCGAGCGCCACTCATGCATAGCCCGCTTAACTACATATAACACCCATGCGTCTACTTCTACACTAGCCCGCCGTCCGAATCACCACACTAGCCCGTGCTCCCACACCCACACGGCTTCTACCGCATTAGCCCGCCATTCAAATCGTCGCACTAGCTCATGCAACTACTTCTGCACGAGCCTACCTTTTGAATCGTCGAACCAATCTGCACTCCCACACTCACGTGGCTGCTCCTACACCAGCCCGTCGTCCGAATTGCTGCACCAGCCCATGTGCGCCAATTAGCTTCGGCCCATCCACCCATTTACTCCAATTGACAACAATAATCATACATCCACTTTTGGTATGTTCACGAAAGGCCACTTCACCTTTATTTCTGTCTTCTCCAATCGTAAGTGTAGAAAGCTCCCATCTCTAATCTTGTATATTACCCAACAATTCCTACAACTGCCCGTGAATATAAAGAGTTGTATAAAGATATTTTATAATAATAATAATAATAATAATAATAATAATAATAATAATAATAATAATAATAATAATAATGATAATGATAACTAGAAAAAGGTAAATTTGAATTGAAAACCTGCTCCGGCCTGGAATGATTAAATTGAAGACCTCACACCGTTGTATCTTAGATCCAATCGAGAAGAAATTAAATTGAAGACCTCGCGCCATTGTATCTTTTTGATCCGGCCAGGAATGATTAAATTGAAGACCTCACGCTATTGTATCTTAGATTCGGCCGGAGAATCAAAGGTAAGTACCGTCCCAACAACCCCTAATGGGGAGGGGACGTCGGGGGACTATCGAATTTTTGAGAAAAATGAAAAGGAACATTTTTATTAATTAAAAAAATAGAGAAAGTGCAAATTAAAAATAATTTAAGAGTTGTTTTAAAACCAGTCTGAAAGCACTGTTGAATTTAAATGTATTATTCATAATTAAAAATTTTAATCTCATTTAAAAATAAATGATAATTGATTAATTTAATTGAATAACCATGAAAAATATTTTAATTAAATAATTAGTTGATTAATTTAGGGGTGTCAAAATTAGGTTTTAGGTCGGATTCGGGTCGAACCCATAATTGACTCGGTTCTAAACGGGTTGACTTAAACAATACTCGGTTTTGCAAACAAGTCAGAAATTCAGATCCGAACCCAACCCGCTTGTTTACCGAGTTGACCCGATCCAACTCAAGATCGGCCTGGCAACTACAAGCGAAACGGCATGGCGGATTCGTGCAAGTGCCGAGTGCTCGGGTACAAGCATTGAGCGGCAGAGCGAGGCTAAGCGAGTGGGCGAGGCAGGCCTGGGCCGCCAAGCAGAGCGTGCGAGGTGCTGCGGCCTATGGGTGCGGGTGTGCATGTGTCATATGTGCGGCGATTCAACTGTGGTGAGGCCGACCTGGAGGCTGGACGGACTGGGTGGAGCGGGCGACTACGTGAGTGGGCTGTGCGACCGTGATGTGTGCGTGCGGTGCTAATTGAGGGCAACTAGAACGGGTTAATGGGTCAATACCGGGTCAAACCCTGGAACATACCTGATTTTTTGTCAAAAAATAAAACCCGAACTCGACCCGTTTGTAAATGGGTTAACCCAAACCCGAATTTTTTAAGTCGGGGAAGTATTTGACACCCCTAATTAAATTGAAATGAAACGAAATGAGTTAAAAAAATTTCAATTAATTAAAAAATGCAATAAATAAATAAATAAATAAAGTATTTACACTAAATCCTTATACAAAACTCAAAACTCCAATCCCAAAACTCAAACTCAAACTGACAAGACAAAACTCTGAGCAAGCTCCTACAAATGCTGGTTCCAAATATCTGCAAACAAATAAATCGAAACAAGTTTAGTACTATAAGCAAAGCAGCAGTGTTAAGGTAGAAGTCAATGTGTTGTAACAAAACTACTGTGTTAAAAGCAAAGTACTGAAACTAAAATGGTAGTGCTAAAGTAAAAAAAGAAAGCTATTGAAGCAGGAAGAAAGTGAAACTAAAGCAAGTATTCCTAAATGCAACAAACCTAAATAAGCAGACAACTTTCAATGAAAACAATAAGACCTATTAGAGTTAATGTGTTAAGGAGCTTCTAAATTGAGTAACTCACCCTAAATCAAATTCAAACTAAATATGAAACTACAGGCAACTTCCAATGGAAGAAGTAAAATCTGCTCTAACCAGTTCATTAGGGAACTTCTAGGTGAAGTAATAAGTCCTAGTAAACTTCAAATCTACAGGTTACTCGTAAAAGAAGAGGTAAGACCTACTGTTTGGGAACTTCTAAATGAAGTAATAATTCCTTAATCAAATCTACAGGCAATTCCTAAATGGAGCCATAAGCCCCATTCCAAAAGTAAATTACTCGACAACCCCTAAGCGGAGTCGTAAGCCCCATTCCAAAACTAAATTACATAGAAACTTCTAAGCGGAGCCGTAAGCCCCAAGCTAAATTAAATCTACAAGCAACTCTTAAACGGTG